AGGACTGAAGATGTTCAGTGATATTTGAATAATAATGTCACAGAGTAACTAGTCATAATAATGGGTATAAAAAGGGGGTGGGTCTAAAAAAACATTCCCTTAGTGGCCCCATAAAAAAACAGATGACTATACAATGTACAGCATCAAATACTATGGGAGTAAGTCAAGAATCAGGAAAGTTATGATCATAACAGACCTGAAGTAACTCAATCTAAAACACAAAGAAAGGAACAAAACAAACCTTTCCTCATTTATTTGATGAGGAATTATACATCTTTTAAGCAATTGCCCAACTACTAACAGACCAAAATTGCAATGTTTATGAAATAAAAGCCATCAGTCAAAACCCTCAAATTACATTCACACTTACAGTATTAAGATATGAACATAATGGAAATAAAAATTCTTAACAAAGAAATAGCAATTCTATAACAAGGAAGAAATTCTGTCCATAAAAATAGGCAATGTAAGAATAAACTTCAGTATTAGGGGTTCATTCAAACTTCAAGTATCCAAACTAAAATAACAAAATAACAAGTTATATGTAATTGACACAGACTTTGTACCTCAGCAACATTAAACAATGACTGACCTCAGCTTGTTCTTCATTTATGGTGATGGACTCTTTAACCCGCTTGAGCACAAGATGTAAGCATCCACATTGCAAACTTATGGCACTGTGATGATAAAGAATGCATATGTGATGATGTACACTCAAATATGAGCTAATAGTTTTTTTTTTTGTCAAAACTGCTTATATTTTAGCTGGGAACAGCAGGTGTGCCATTCTACTGAGTTGCATATTAGTAATTAAGTCTATCCTTGCCTGTGTGAGTATATCCCAACTGCAAGTATTTGTCTGACAGCCATGTTGGCAAAGAAGGTTAGGCAAGCCACACTGACTCTGATTTAAAACCACATGCACCAGGGTTATCTCATAAAAATGTATGTTTAAATTTCTCCTAAAAATTATCCAGCAATCCTTGTAATAAACTAGAATACCTATTATGGATGACAATAGTAATCATAGTAACCATGTGAAACTTAGCAACAATGGGTCTCTTTTAAAAGGGGATTAGCATAAAGACTGATTTTCAATTGAATCATTCTAATGAAGAAATTTTCACAAGCAATGAAAGTTTGGGGTTTGTACCCATGTGCATAATAGACTGTTTACAACTTTCTGATTAAAGTTGTTAATTCATCTATTTACATTCCATTTCATAAAACCCTTGGAAATGTATATTTTCTGGTTAGAAAATAATAGACTGCATTTATCAGACTTAATGCAAATAGTAATCTTCAGTAATTGGGAATTACCTGTACTTGTCATAATAATTAGTCAATATTTAACCCATTAGATCTAGATGACATTTTGGCTGAGGGAAGGTGACAAGGTCTAGTCATGGGAAATTGTTGCTGAGTGGTGGGTGATGGGGATGTCTCATCATCAATGTACAAAGCACAGGAGAAAAACTAACCTAGTATGATTCCAGGCAGGATGTTCATGGCAGGAGTTCAACAGGTCTACAGAAGTTAAGTGAGCCATCCATGAGCTATGCCTGGGAGATGGCTGTGTACAGGGTACACTTAAAAAGAAATAAAGAAAAATCTTTATAATGTTTTTGTTTATGTTACTGCACAGACCATAAAGTACCTGGAGATACAATGCAGAATTTGCTAAATACCTGGAGATACAATGCAGAATCTTGCCATTCTGATACAACATAAATATGACAACTATAGACCTCTAGAAATGGCAAACAAGAAAAAATGCATCTGTAGAAAAAGGCATAAAGCATTGCAAAATGGGAGCATGGAGCCTTAATACCAGGCTGGACCAACAGGTTACACACCAGTGCAAGTCAACACTCAAATAAGTCTAATGCCTGGATTTTGGTCAACCTGGGAGCCACAAGGTGCACCAGATCCAATGGGTTAAGAAATTTAATTCCTCATATCTGTAAGGCTGGGATCAATTGAAAAACTGTAAGCATAAAATAAGGATAACTAGGTTGTTCTATGTAAAGGGAGTGACAGAAAGCTTAGTGTTTTTTCTTTTTATTGCAAAATTTTCCAATGACAGTATATCATCTTTAATAGCACTTAACCATGGCAATTTCATATTCCAATCTGTAAATGGTATACCCTACAATAAATGAGATACACTTATATAGATATATATATACGTATATAAATCAGACAAAGTACAATTGCTTTTTACTAAATATCTCCCAGTATACATTTTAAAATCAAAGTAATGTGAATAAAGTAGAAAAATAAAAATAAAATACATTTGGAGGTTTTGGGCTTATAGGACGGAGATACATCATGGTGTACAGAGTTTCATATGCGATGACTACTTGATGGCTAAATATTTTGTATAAAGACCTTTTTTTCAATCATATCAAACTTTTTTGAACATCAAAATACTACAAATAGCAAAGATATGTTTATGAAGATCTGGGAGTAACATTACTCGAAGTCAAATAAAAGCAACCCTGGAACTAATATACTTTGTTCTCCACGTTCTCCATTCTTCAGTTGCAATGATCAGCTGAGGCTCATTGGCTAACAAAGAAGTGAGTCCTAAAAAACTTATCTTATGTTAACACATGGTATGTTAACCTGCAGCAGATGGCAGAGAGGACAAAACTATTCAATGATGACAAATCAAAACTGTTCACAAAAATAAATGGGTATGCACACATTAACTGGAGACACTTATCTCTAAGGATCTTGTAAATAATATTTCAGCTTGAAATGATATTATGCAAAAAAGAAAAAAGAGAATATATATAACTAAAAGGATGGCAAGGGTTAAAAAATAACGACTTCCAAATACAAATACGTAGTCAAACATGGACATCAACATACATTTGACATTTTTCTTACAATTCAAAGAAAAAGAAATGAAAGGAAAGAAACGCAATCACATCATCCCCTAGAGGAGGTATCTTTCATCACTTTCTTTATTAGAAGAGTATCCAGCATCACTTTCTCCCTTGGCCCCAGAGCCTGCCACTGTCTCCTTGGTGGCACTGTCTGGCTCTTCTTCTTTTCCCACTCTCCAGTCCTGATGGCTTGTTATCTTCCTTCTCATCTGATGAATTTCCTGTGCTGCTCTTTGCTTCTTCCTCATCACTATTGCTGTCATCGTCGCTTGAGTCGTCCAAGTCACTATTGAAAAAAGATAAAAATTACTTAAGAAATAGGGAAAAGTCACTTCAACTGCTGTACTGAGAAAATAGAAAACAAAGGAAGCGAGATGAGAAGAAGTAAGAGGGAAAATTAGAAAAAGGATAGGGTTTCTAAAAACAGAAGAGAGAATAAAAAATGAGGGACGAGTGAAGAGAAGAAAAAAAGAACAGAAAAAAAGGTACATTAAGATGAGAGAAATCAGAAGACATAGAAGATAGAAAGGATAGGGGAGAGAAAAGCAAGCTAATACATAACTAAGAGAAAAGAGAGACATTAGATATGAAGATGAAGAAAAAGGATAAAAAGGACGAAAAAAGTATAAGTAACATCAGATGAGGAAGATAAATGGTAGAACTTAAAGCACTTTGTGTGAAATTATCAAGATAAATGCTACATGCATGTACCTCCACCCTAAGATCAGACGCACTGACCTAGAGGTATCAATAGTTACTCCTATGATGGACCAGAAGCCAGGCTCTGTATAATCTAATATGCTTAGCACTACAGTATGAGCACATAAAACTGTTGCTTCCTGTGCTCTTAGTGATAATGTGCCTGTACCTATCACTTTTCATTACAGTAATCCACTGCTTTTGTCTCTGAGTCCCAACAAATGTGAAAGTTTTCTGACTTTAACCCATTGCCGACGGGTAAAAATGTTTGGCAAGTGGACGTATGAACGGGCTCGTTGGCATCGGCAGTTTCCTGTTTGCGCCCGGCTTGATTGGTAGTTTGCGAGCGACATTTAGCACCTAAAAGCTTTTATTTTACTAAAATTTATTAAAATATTAAAATTTTGAAGGTCTACCTTTATTTTAGGTGCCATTGCCTAAAATCTTTACCATATATATGAAGCCGCTACTATCAGAGAAAAACAACCTCCTGTCCGACGAGCCAGTGGCGCGGGAATGGGCAGGACATGATGCCCCCTGGCGTTCGGTCCACAACAGCCATGGCACATAGATATATATATACATGCCACCCGGTGGCAATGGGTTAACCACTACGATCTAGATGACGTTATGGTCCAGTCATGGAAAAATCTGGGTTGAGGGTCAGGTGACATCAACATGCCATCACTGGACAAAATGGAAGCGGGTCAGGTGATATGAACTTGCTGTCATGAGCGAAAGCCAGAGTAATGGAAAAGACTTGCCACAAGTGCACAAATCTTTTGGAGTGGGATTTAACTCATTTGGCACTTAGAAGGGGTTTTTAGCATTATTCCCACTGATAAATGAATGTGGAATGTAATGTGCGCAAACTGTGAGTGGAAGAGCACCGGCTCGAGAGAGGATGGCATTTCCATGCTGCACACTGTATTCCTGGCCACTGTGATCAGTGGCGCAGGTTGTATTATGGAAAATTGAAAACTACGAAAAAATAATTTATATGACACAAGTAACCAAATATTCCTTCTTTCTTTTTCACAGAGTTATTTACTACATTAAGAGGTGATAATGGAGTCTGTACAAGAAAATAAGCTATTACCATCTGGATAAAGCAAATGAAAAGACAAATTATGGCCATTGGAAAATGGCAAAAAACTAAAAAAGTTTATATAAAATAACTTTGCAAAGAGGAGGCAGAGAGTAGCCAACATCCCAGGCATGCCCCGGCACGCCTGGGATGTTGGCTACTTACATAACTCACTACACTGTGATTTCCGTGACACAACTGGATCCAATAGGTTAATGTTGCCTAAACACTATCCATATATTGGCAACTCTAGAATCATCTTCCGGGTAGTGCAAAAGCTCTGAATCAGTAAAGCAGAGAAGTGAGGTTAGAGAAATATCCCCTCCTTTAGCACTGCTGACTAGGGGCATGTGCATCACTGAGTTTATTACAAGATAATGAACTGTAGTAACAGCAAAATTGCTGTGTTCTTCCATACTTGAGTTTCAAGCTGTGAGTAGATTTCAATGCTCAAATCTGGTGCCAGCATGTGAGATTCTGATCAATCAAGAGTCTTCACAGACAAAATGAAAGAACACAGAAGACAAATAAAAATTATGCATACAAATGAAGGAGAGGGGGGGGGAGAGAGAGAGAGAGAGAGAGAGGAGAGAGAGAGAGAGAGAGAGAGAGAGAGAGAGAGAGAGAGAGAGAGAGAGAGAGAGAGAGAGAGAGAGAGAGAGAGAGAGAGAGAGAGAGAGAGAGATCGAGAGAGAGAGAGAGAGAGAGAGAAGAGAGAGAGAGAGGAGAGAGAGAGAGAGAGAGAGAGAGAGAGAGGAAGGGTGAGGAGAAGGGAACAGACACATTAGATAAGAAGAAAAAACACATCTGCTGATCCCGCAACTTCTGGTGAGTGGTGGAGATGGTGGTACAGGGCCTAGTTTACTTTCCAATTGCAATCTTAGTCCTCTCTGTCTCTCACTGTTGTTTATTGTTTTATTTTCCTTTTTGTGTGCTCTTCCGTCATTGATGGACTCAGAGGGGAAAGTAAAGGATTTTTTTTCCTTTTTCTCTTTTCTGCAGATCTACTCTTTGCTCTACTCTCAAAGTGGCTCTACAAGTGGTTTTATGACAAGCAACTGTTAGCTGTGAAAAGCCTCTACATCTGGTAGCAAGGCTCATTTACACCATAATACTACAGCCTTCTACAAGTTTGCTAGTTTTGGTAGAAAGGCCCTAACTCTTCCTTTTCTGTTGCTACCACTTCTGAGTCAACAAGTCTTGGTGTGCCAATACATAAGTTAGTAAGGCCCATATTTACTATGTCTCCTCTACAAAGGTCATAATGTGCCTCTACATTTGGTAGCAGTCCTCTCCTGATTGGGGTAGTTCATATCATGGTCCTTGTATGGTGGGAGGTTTAAGACTACTCAGTGCTACTGCTGCTGCCCACCTTCCTGTGTTGCCACTGTAGCCAGGAATACTCCTGGTTTGTGGCCTTACTCTATTTGGACTAGAAGCTAAGTGGTACGGTACACTTCCTCATCCTTAGAGATAAGCAACCTCCCTTGGCCCTGCTGCAAGGAGGGCTGAGTATTTCCTTGCTTGCTGCATCAGTTCAGCAGCAGGCACTGCTTGCCTTCTCACTCTGAATGTTGCTGTTTAAAATCTCCAGCTAAACATATTGCCACAGGGGCTTGACAGAGGTCTCTCTTGCCTATATTTCTCTGTTCCTTGGCAAGATTGAAAGAAATGGCACACTCTTCCTCTGAAGCTAGGCCAAACTCACTCTGGGTTGTATTTATAGATTTCTCACTGAACAATATTTACATAGTAGTTTAAATCAACAGTATATAGAATTTAAATATCAGATAATTGGTTAAACATGTCAGAAATACTTACTCTAAAAATCTGCCTTTCTTAGGTTTGACAACTGGCTTTGCTTCTTCTGAGGAACTTCTTTTCTGGGAGCCTGAGGTGCTTCCTGGTTCTTTGGAAAAAGCTGAAAATAAAAATGCATTTCAGAAACAGTAACAGCAACTCTTCAAGAGAGAGATAATTCATTTATCAATAATATATTGACCCAAATAGTTTTTGTATATCATGATATGCTATATATATAAAGTGTAAGCATTAGGGAATTTTATTCAACTAATGTTTCTTTCCACCTAATCTTAAATATTCTTTTATCAATCCACTGCTACAGGGCATGGCATGTTTACTATGAGTCAAGTTTACTATCTGTACTTGCATATAGATGGCTCTTAACCCATTAATGACGGGTGTCCCACATATGAGACACCCGAAAAGATTCTGGGCACCTGCAAAATCAGTGGGCGGAGCTGCCCCAGACTCTGATTTTGTAGCTGCCCGGAATCTTTAATTTTCGACTTCAAAATATATCGCCATTAATGGGTTAACAAGTGCTTCATCACCAAGGTGTTGATTACAAATCCTACCTACCTCACCTGCTTATCCTTTTTTCATTAATTTTTGGAAAAATTTAATTATTAACCCAATCGTGCCGGGTGTCACATATATGAGACACCGGAAAAATAAACATTGCCGGACGTTCCGCCAGTGTGGCGCACGGCCGCCGGGTGGACAGACTCCGGAGAAGCTCGCCCGCCGATTTTGTAGCTGCCCGGAATTTTTTATTTTAGCAACAAAATGTACCCGGCGTGAGTGGGTTAAAGAAAAAAAAATCTATAAAATGAAGGAAAGGGGAAACAGGTGAGGACAAGTAGGCCTACAAACTGACTCCTTGGTTGTTGAACACTTGTGGAGCTAAATCTTTGCAAATACATTTCACAAAACAAAGCTCCAGTTTCCACTTTGTGGAAATAACATTAATGAACTATTGACTTTACAGACTTCAATCTGAATTATCACACACTCACCTTTGTCTAATGAATCATACAAATTTTTTTCCCGAACTTCTCTCTGCTGATAATATGACTCATCCTGGAAAATGTGTTTTGGAGTTTCCTTCAATTTTTCAAATTTTTGGCGCTTACGTTCCTGTATCTCTCGTTCTCTTTCTGATTTCTTGCTGATAAATTCCTTTAATCTGTGAAAATGATAGTAACATGAAATGCAGTTTCTATGACTGCCTGGTCCCAAAATCTTCTAAGTACACTACAGTGATTGCTTCAGTAAGTTATTTGTCCTATTTACAAAACTTGTATCATATCTCTTTTCTAGCTATTGATCCAGAAACCATATATATCATACAAGTATTTTACTAGCAACAGATCATATTCCTTCAGAAAATAAAATTATTGATCATTAAAGTACTCCTGTTTATGAAACCTATAAAAATGTCATCATCCTAATAACAAAAGCTCAAAAATCTGTAATCAATACACTTATACATCTTTTAGTTTTTTTCTTCAAGTACTCTGTCCAATCGATTGATACAAAACAAAATATTTCTACCTCTTTTCCTCATTTATATCTCTCAAGCGCCGACCACTGAGATCCCGACATGCCTCCCGGTTGGTTGTCTTCTCGATTTGAGCACCTGTAGACATGTCAATGATTAAGTTAAAGTTTTTATAACCCAACCATTTAGGCTTACACTGTATGATTGGAAAGCATTGTAATGACAAGGGTAAAGCTGTACAGAACTTTGTGATAGTGTGGTATTGAATAAGTAAAGAGGGTGAGTAAATGGGTAAAGCAGGGAAAATGGGTAGCAATTAGATAAAATGGAAAATACAGCTCATTGAGAATAGAAACCATAAATATTTCAGATCAGAAGAGCTATCATAAAACAATAAACAAGTCCTACTGAGAAGTAGGACAGGAAGAATTCTGGTCAGATATTTAGTCATAACTCCTTTATTCTTATGTATTAAGCAGAAATATTACGCCAGTGGGTTGCCAAAGCATACTAGATTACACAAGATTTTTTTTTTTAAATTTTTCGAGTATTTAAAAAAATATTTGTCAAAAATCTACGGTGACAGCCCCATTAAAGGAAGTTGGGTGTGGAAGACAGAGAAACAAAGGTTTTCTTACAAGGAGGGGATGTGGTAGGATAAGATGAGTTGAAATGGTTAGATTGCCTTATGCAGTGGGCATAGCAAAAAGTGGTAGAGATTGGAGTGTCTGAATTTAGAATAGCAAAAGATTTTGACCGGAAGAGAGGTGTAGAACAAAAGAGGAGGAGGAAAGTACTGGGGATATGTAAATAGATCTTGGGGAAAAAAGGAGAGGGCAGAGCAATGGAGTGGGCAGCAAGAGAGAAACCTTGTTGGCAAGCCTCCTGTCTCACTCAAATGTATAGGTCGGGCAGCCCCTTTAAAATATATTATAAGCCACCACAAATAGCACATGTGCAGCAAGCAGTTTGAACAAACATGACTAGGTTGGGCAAATAGAGCAGGGGGCTATGGAGTGTCACACAACATTTCTAACATTGACAGGGCAGGTTTTTCCACTAATACAAATTTCATGGAAGAGGTCATATCTACAAAAGGTAATACTGGCCTCTAGGGGAGAATTGTGTAGCATTGTACTGAGCCTGCACCATGGTCAACGAGGCAGGCAAGGAAGTATTTTTACAGTCTGATCTTTGTCATACACAGGGCAATCAGATGGGGAGATGGAAACAGTCCTGGTACAAGTACTAAGGGAGGAGTGAGGCTTTGGAGGAATAGGTTTGCCAATGAGGTCAGTCAGGGTAGATAATGCTTGAGCTTGGGACTAAGATTTACCTGACAAAGGTATGTAGGATTGGAATGGCTTCAGAAGGAAATTTTGCATACTTGTTCTTGGAGACATTGTTGGATGAGAAGAGTATTGTCAGAGTAAGGGGCTGATGGGGGGATCATAAAAAAGAGATCCCACTTAGCTAAGCTAAAAAAGAGTACTCAAAAGGTTTGTAGAGGTCGGAGTAGTAGTAGAAGGAAGAGGAAATGGTTTGGAGAGAGGTAGTACTGAGGGGAGGGCAGACAATCAGGATGGAGAGTAGTAATAAGGGGGGTAGAAAATTAAAAGACTGTGGAGGATGAGGAGTAGAGGATGTTGGGAGAGGTGAAGGAATGTTTTCTGAAGGTTGGGTTATAACTTTGGTGTGATACTTGTGTGGATTTTATTATCAATGAGTGATGAGCTACCAATGGTTAGAAGGTTCAATGCATACAATATGTGTAAAGCTCTTTCCACATAACTTATATGCCGTAAAAGTGGGAACACCCTACATCTTGTTTATCAAACTTAACATTTAGCAATTAATGAAATACATTTACCTATTGCCCTCAGCATAGACCCAAAACCTCCCTTGCCACCAGGGAGCCTTAGTGTTGCTGTGACAGTTTCATCCTCCGATATCACGAGGATGAGACAGGATTTGCCCTTTGGATTGCAGGACAACATCTTGGATCTCCCCCTGAAAGGAAAAAGAAAAATAAACAAAAAGAAAAAGGAATTAAACTGTACATTGAATATAATCATCCTAACCAAACGAAAAGGTAAATTTTATAAACTACTATCAATACAAGGCAATTCTTCCTTAAAAAGAAAGGGAAAACAAAAGACAATAATCTAGAAAGTGTTCCCATAAAAGTATCAGTTATGATCTGAAGTGATTGTGTAATGCAAAATGAAAAAGAAAAAACTTACCTCTCTCCCCACAAGAGCTTCAAAAATATCAGCTCCTGTCATACATTTGTTCTCCAGGCACCATGTTCTCCGAGATCCAGACACGTGGGAAACCAGCAGAACCATTGTTGCAGATATTTCTCACAGGTCAAACAGTCTGAAAGGTTTATAAAAATGCTGAATTATATCACCTTGTTTTGCTGCATGCTTCACAATAATTTCTGTCTCAACATACAAATATTTCTTTTCTATACCCTTGGCTCTGGTAATAACACTATTCATTGTCAGTAAGTGGGAAATACTCAAAGGAAAATATGGAAATTAGGGTTACTAGAACAGTCACTTTGACGAGTGTGTGGCATTAAGGAGGGCCCATGTAAACACTTGTGTGTGGTGTCAAGACTCCATGCCTTTCCTTTACAATGTTTTGTTTTTAGGGTATTAGCATTTCATTTTTTTTTTCTGTGTTTTTTTATGTCTATATTTATCATCTGATTTGCTTTCCATACTATTATCTTAGGAAGTCCATAACTTAGTGCAATAATAATATGAAGTGAACAGCAACCTGAGCATGGATAAATTTCCTCCCTGGAGCCAGCCCTCTTTCAGTCAAGCCTACAGATGGTACATTTCACTATTTATCAATGGAAATAATGCAAAAGCCCCTTCCTAAATGTCACTGAGTCTAATCACCCTCCAAGACCTTTGTGCATTTGTGGCGAGTCATTCCTGTTAGCCAAATTTTTCCATGATGGCATTGCACGTCCCCACACCTCAAGCCAAACTTTTTTATGAACTGATGGTCACATTATCAGGATTGTAGGGGTTAAATGGGCATGCCATGATTGGATGAGAGAATATGACAGGCTAGATGATCAGTGTGAAATTTATCCTGAACTGTGGAAGCTGCCACTGCAATGAAGAGATGAATTATGATTGCTGATTGCTGAAAATTAAAAGAGTACAGACCATCAATTTTGTTCAATAGAAAGATACTATGTTAACCCCTAGCCAACGGGTGGCATATACGTACATGCCATGGCCTGTTGTGGACAAAAACACGGATAGCATCATATCATGCCCATTCCCGGCCACTGGCTCGTTGGACAGAGTTTGTGTTTCTCCAATATGAGCAGCTTAATTTATATGGTAAATTTTAGCAATGGCATCTATAATGAAGGTAAAACTTCAAAATTATAATATTTTTATAAATTATAGCAAAATAAAAGCTTTTAGGTGCCAAATCTCGCTCGCAAACTACCGATCGAAAGCAGGGGAAACTGCCGATGCATGCCAACAATCCCGTTATTACGTCCACTTGCCAAACATTTTACCCGTCGCCACTGGTTTAAATAACTCCATGCAGTTGAGAAAATATAGTGATCACTGAAGTATTGTTTTCTGAAATGTCCTGCGCACTGATGGCTCTACCAGTCTTAACCACAAAGGAGTCAATTAGTAGATATTGTGACCTTACTTGATTTCACCTTTCCTTGAGTTTACGGGGGAAAAACTTTTTTTTTAACACAATCAATATTGATGCTGTTATCATTATCACAGACATTGTAATTATGAGAATGTCACTGACATTACAATAATAGATACCAGAAAATATTTCTAAAAATCAAGGAAAAGAGCTAAGAAATGATTGGCTCATTGGTCTTGGTACTTTGGTGAGCAATCTAAACTCACAGTGGGCTTGGCACTGTGATTGATTGTTATGATTCATGCATATGTCAATGTCACTCTGCTATGACAAACTTTCTATTACATATTTCAGGCAAGAACTTGGATAGAGTTCCTAACTGGACAATAGAGGGCCTGAGGGTCTACAAGTTCTTTCATTCCAATACATATGAAGTGGATTTGATGCCTTTTTTCTGAGTTTCACAGGGATGTGTTGATTTCTGCATCACTAAAAAGAGTTGTGCTAGTATATGATAATGTGAATTTCATGACATATTGTATAAGGAATGGATAACTTTGATTTCCTTAGGTCCAAGACACCTGTTCAGTGTGTTGCTAAATCCTTAATATTGTCTGCGAAATTCATACTATCATAGATAAAAATTATGAAATTTCTCTGAGTCATGTTGTCACAAATTACAATCTTTGCATCAATACTGCTGCTATACTTGGTATCTTTATCCTCCATTGAAAAAAAAAAAAACACCTAAACATGAGGCTGATAATCTCAATAAATAATTAGAGCAATCTCATAAACAGTGATAATAATCGATCTGATAATCTGATTTACCCTCAATTTCTCTAAATCTATTGATGCTTTTGTGGGCTGCTCATAAAATACCTCCAAGTGACTGTGTGGCTGGTTTCATGATATGATATGTGCAGGTGGTTTTGTAGTGTGACGTGCAGTAGCAGGTGCCATGACCCTGACTGGAAAATTATACATCACACAAAGTTTAAATACAAAGAAAAGCTGCTTGATGCAGCCATGGAAAAAAAATTAAAAATGGCGCATTTCATTGAAGACAGCAAAACGAATCACGACAAATATTTTAAACATGATAAGGGTTAGAATTTATAAGAACACAAAGTGAAGTGCCTGGTCTGGAAAGTTTACATCCAATACATTTGAAAGATAATATATGTACTGACACACTGATATATTCCTGATGTGCATTTTTAAGAAAAACATTTGTCAGCAGCTGCACAGTTTTCAAACTTACCAATCGGGACCATGACCAATCAATTTTGAAAAAAATTGCTGCAGCTAATCAAACTAAATTGTTGTCAAATGGTTTGGGAAATGTTCGTTCTAATTTGCACCATGAAGTCATTGTGTCTAGATTATGATTTAACCCACTATGAGACTATTTTCTGATTATTCTAGGGTAATGAAGAACCTGATATATCAAAAACGACACAATTTTGCACTGCCTGTGATCTGATTTATCAGGCACATGTAAGCATCCATGATATCTCCATAACTAGAGGGGTTAAATTGGAGGATATCAACTTGTACTATATCTAAATAAAAATATATATTCCCATTCTGTATAATGTAATTGGCAAAATGAACGTAAAAAAAATTGAGTGCACTCATATAACATTGTTTTATGAAGCCTTTAACCTTTCTGCTGCAATGCAATTTTTTCTAGGATGCTCTACACGTTTACTCTGTAATCTTAAATAGTATACTGACCATATAATTCCTTACTGCGATATGTCAATTACTTTGTGTGCTACTATGTTGTGAGTTATCTCCTATTTGTACTCATTTATTCCATTATATTTGGGCATCTTGTATATGTAAGTAATATCATAAAGAACAAAATATACCTGATATTAATTATTTTGGACTTTTTGCTATAACAACTTTTTGCGCATGCATGTTTTCCAAGCAGTCACTGGTATGTTTGTACCGTGAATGATTTTGGCTCTTGTCCTTTATTTAGAACTTCGGTGAAACTTACTGACATTTGCATAAGTCATGGTGTGTTAAGTGAACCTGTGAACTGAGCGAAATGTGGAAATAGGAGCAGAATTGAACGATTACCTATGATGCATTTCCCAGAACCAAGGAAGTGATTCCACCAGTTCCTATTGGGAGCATCTCCACTTTAGCCCCCCTTTGTTTAAGGTAAAAATGGTTAGTGACTATTACGGTTTGAAATTACTGCACTGGGGTACAGGGGGTAGAGCCTGCTATCTGCTATCGGAAATATCAAGATATGCACCAGAAATGATAGCTTGTTAAAACTCGGCCTTGCCAAAAACTTTTGGAAAAAATATATTTCATGAATTTCATACAACTGCTGTAATACAGAAAATTGGGTAAATTTGGAAAAAGATGTCACCAATGCTCCTCAAGACAAAACTAGAAAGTGTCTGACAAAGAAAGAGCACTGCTTTCACAGCTTGGTTTTTGAGATTATTTTGCCAATGGCTGCAGAACCACCTACCATTTCTTAAGGTGCAAGGTAAATTCCATAATTTACAAAGCAATTCAGTGGGTAGCACTTCCTGTTCATGTAACAGTTTTCGGCTAGCCTCGTGTCATCAAAATAATCTTTCATAACATTATACAGTTTAATATGACATTCTGCACACAGTGCAGCCATGGTGAAATTTATTCTAAAATTTAATTTCATAGCTCTATTTTAACTTATGTTCATTCACTGGCTGTTTCCTCGTGTCTTGTTTCCCCACTATCAAATTAACCACCAAACAATAGACCAATGAAATCGTGGCACTGGCTGTGATGTCAGAATTAAAATAACAGGAACAGTAAGTGTATCAGAGACCCTGCGCATGCGCAGAGGAAAATGTGGTCAGTTTTCCCTCAGCAATCACGTGAATCTCACCTCTGTTTACTACCATTTTTAATTATTTTGATAATCAAATTGCTTTGTTATTATTCATTTGCAAGAGAAGTTTAAGAAGTTTCTTTAATTAAACATCTCAAGGCTGTAAGGTTGGTCATGATACATTCTTTATTAACGTCATTTTCCAATAATACCAAAAATTGACCTTCAGCGCAACTTTGGTAAATTTACAGCAGATAAAATCAGGGTTGAAGTAAAAGATGTGTATGGACTGATACCTTAATGTAAACCGAGATACATTTGATCATTGGATAAGGTGTGCAAATCGATGATAAGGAGATACATAACAAAGACGAGACATGATAGACCCATCTTTTTCTTAGTTCTTTGCCAAGGTTACATAGTGAATGTAAACAATACTATGACCATTTAACTCATTACTGTGACCTGTCAAAGTTCATGTAGTACTATGCACTTTTGAAGAGATAATTATTTTGTAAATTTCAGTCTGCTTTTCATAATTCATATTTTATGCATTCCTTAAAAAAAAATCTAGTTTTTTGATAGTTTTTATGCTATTCTTTACATAAACCTGAACTTAACAAAACGTTGGTAAGGAATACTTGTTTTCAGTGTTGCGTCGATTCTGGGTCCTTTGCAAACAAATAAAGTAATTATCACAGCTTGATATGTGAGCCCATAGAGTGCCCCAAATTGCCAGAAAAAGTGATTAGAAACCAAGACATCCAGAAAATAGACAGAAGCTAAGGAAAGTTTGGTATCTCAAGATATAAAGGTGTTTGGCTTATTCTTTGAGGTACGTATGCAGCTCTATCCTGCCATACATACTGAGTGTGAAGAGAATGTTTCCTGAGGGTGATGGGAGGCAGAGTCCCCCCCCATCAATCCGTCCCCTCGGCAGTTGCCCTCAGGAAACACCTAATCATAGCATCTTAGATTGTTGAACAAAATTTGTGACATGGAATTAGGTTGGTTTACTGGTCAAGACTTAATGGGTGGTGTGAATTCCCATAGATTTTACAGCAGGATAGATTGGGTTCCCAATCAAGTTTCGTTTGCCTATTTTGAGCATTTTCTGTGCTGTTTTTATGCATTTTTGTTCTCTATTCTCTTATATTAGCCTGTTATACCCATAATATCCCTGATATACTTCATGCCCTCCCCTGCTATAGGACTTACACATCAAAATTGCTGGCTGACTGCTACGGAAATAATCATCAGATTTGTTCTCGTCACACAAGAATAAATCTGATGATGATCATAAACTGTAAAATAACCCAACTTTTTGCAGCCAAACAGAAAAATCATATTCAGGAGAGTTGAATAATCATGGTGGTATAAGTAACAGAGAGTGATGCAGAGAGATTTTCTTACAATCACTCGCTCTAAAATTTGCAGGTAATTTTTTCTAATATGTCCGCACAACGGATCATGATGATTTTCATATTGTTGGATTCTCTCACTGTCTAGTTTCCAAAATATACAGAAATTATTGAGTGAAAACCCCTCTCTTGGCCCTAATAACAGTGGAAGGCATGAAAGGTACCTGGGAAAATAAGGATAAAATGCAAATATACACAGAATCAGTCACTATATTGTTAATACAGGGGCTGTGCCCCCTACAACCCCCACCATAGGGAGTTGCTGCTCCACAACCCATGCCTAGGAAAATAATGAATCCTCCATGTATCAATGTAGAAGAGTGTGTATGACGGCCATGCTGGAGCAGTGTTTGCCAAGTATGTTCGATGGTGTGAATACGTAGAGGATTCTTTGTTTTCCTGGGTGGGGATTAGGGGGTGGTAGCCCCCATGGGATGTCTCGGGGGCACAGTCCCCTGCATAAAACAATATAGTGACTGATTCTATGTATATTATTTACATTTTACCCTGATTTTCCCAAGTACCTTTCATGCCCTGGTATTGGGGCCAAGACTGTGGGTTGTTGGGGCTTCTGCAAAAAAAAATCTACATATTTGCATTGGAGACAGTGAGAGGAATCGGTCAATGTGAATAACACAGTAATGGCTTACTTTTGAAATGATTTTTATATTTATCTGCAGGAAATACACTGATTTCAACGATTCTTGTTTCTTGTGCAAATAATTCATTATGGAGATCTGAGTACCATTTCCACCGATAATCTTGATTTGTTCGTCCCAATAGCAGGGGGAGAGCATAAAGTATACCAGGGAAATTATGGGGTAAAACAGGCTTGAATATGAATAGCAAACAAAAAGGTTAATTTAGAGGATATGGAGTTATAGTAAAAAAACATGAAATGCTACTAAGATGGAAGAAACACATACAAAGGAATCAAGAAAGTCAAATATAAAGTGCGGAAATACATAATGCTACCAATAACAAATAAAGGTGCCATTTGACACACGAGACAAGTTCCCCTCTTCGCTTATCTGTTAAGTCTATGTAAACAAACCATACCACTCACGAGATGGCGCTCAGGAAAGTAGTACAAGTGCTACTCTCTATCAGTTGAAAAACAATTGTTTAGAAAAAGAAGGATACCACCACTTAAAAGTTAACCAGAGATATAATTTCGTGGATCCAGAAACAAAAGCACATACCAATAATATTGAACGAAAGTGGAGGGACACAAGAGGGGAGTGCCTAGTTTGGCAGGAGCATGTACCATTTTTGGTTATTGATGTTTATGAAAACATCCAGAGACAAACAAACAACTCCATTTTCTTCATGCAGCATCAGAGCTCTACAAACTTTCTCCCTAAATCAAGTACTTATTCACCTTTACTTAACTTTATATATCTAATATAGGGAAATACTGCAATTAGATGTGGGTCTGGGGTGTAGCCTTTGGGTTAGAAGGGGTTTATGTTTTTCATGGCTCCCTGCTAGGGAAACATGGTGATGGGCTCGGGAAGCATGGCAATTGGCTGGGAAGTACGGCTATTGGCTAGAGAAGCATGGCAATCAGCACGGGAAGAATGTCGATCAGCTAGGGAAGTACGGCGATCAGCTATGGAAGCACGAAGTTCAGCTATGCACGGCGATGGTTAGGGAATGCGATCAGCTAGGGAAGTAAGGTGATCAGCTAGGGAGCACAGTGATTGGCTAGGGAAGTACGACAATCAGCTGGGAAACACAGTGATCAGCTAAGGAAACAGAGTGATCAGCTAGGGAAACACAGCGATCAGCTAGGGAAGCACAGTGATCAGAAGGGGTCTGGGGCGTAGCCCCAAGTTTGGAAGGTTTTTGGTTTGAATGACTATCTTTATAGGAGTTTATTTGTTTAGGCTGGGGCATTCATTATCTCTTCGAGGCCAAATCTTGGCTCAGGTTTTCCTTTGAGGGACTTTCGTTATTATATGAAATGTGATTCTTGACTCGGGTTTTTAATTTTTTCATTTCTTTATTAGTTTTAATGCAATTCTTCACTTGGGTTTTTAATTTTGCACTTTCTTTTACTTTTCAAAATTACCGTCAAATATCCCTAAAAAGGTTAATTTTGTGGAAAATTTGGTTCGTCTTTGCAATAAATGTGTTTTTTTTACATTTTAAAATGAAAGCTGGTGTGGAAGACCTATGTATGGTCCCCCCTAAAACCTAAAACTCCCAATTCCCATGTCCCCTAAGATTGTAGGGTAGGAGTTAAGATATAAGGAAAAATAAACATTCCATCTACTCTAGAAGTACCAACAAAAATGCATAAAACTAGCACGAAAAACGCCAAAATCAGCTAAAGAACTCTACAGACATGCCCGTCATCCTTGAAAGTCTATGTACTGACATGCCAAAATTCGAAAGACTCTACGGGATTCCAACCCATCTTTTGGTAAAATCTATGGGATTTCACACCTTCCAAACTCCCCTCAAAAACATCAACCTAACCTAGCAATTTAAGTTGCCGTGACTAGGTGTACCCTTTGGTCACTGCCTGAGGGGAGAGCTGATGGAGGGCTCTGCCCTCCAACACCCCCTAGGATACATTCTCTTCACCTTGGTATGTATGGCATTTAGAGCACTTAATGGACTCAAATATCAAACTGCAATGATTATTAAGGTCTATTCTTCTTCATCAGCACTGCATAGTCTTGAGAATTCCCAAAATCGATGCAACACCAAAAACAAAACATTTTTCACCAGGCTTCTGTAACAGAGTGTCTGGGAATGCTCCTGTCAAACCTTGCACCTGGAAACACACATATACACATGCGCAGAGGTTCTTTAAACTGATTCTCATACAAAACTGTATAAAAAAAAACTTAAACCATATAAATGAGGTATAAAAAATTAATAAAGGCCATTGAAAGCATAATGTGGAACAGCAGACAAATGATTAACAAAATATAGGCATCTTTTCCGGTAGCAATTGGGGTCGTGTCGCGAAATGCTCCGCAACACCTATCACGAGACACAAAGTGTCTCGTGATCGGAGGCGAGTCAGGCCTCTAAGCTCCACCATTTTACTGTACTGGTTATTTTTCCAACAGGTAAACAGTATTTTGGAATATGATATCCAATATGGCTTATGATCGAATATGCATGAAATATCCAAAGTAGAAGAATGCATCTGGCAACTCCTTTAAAGTTAACCGTCCTGCTCGATTCCTGTCGCGTAAGAGGTGTCGCGTTCCCGTAACCGCTGGAAAAGATGCCTTATCATTTTGACAAGCATATAGTACCACATGAACAACTTGGCACAACGCAATAATAAATCAGTCCAATGTTTACTCTCGACATGTAAACAAGATGACCGGTTTTATTACCAAACTCCGCCACTACCTTGTACTGCATACTGTCCACTCTACCCTCACCCAATTACCTTCATGAGTAATTGGAATATACCTTTGAAATGCTTGGAAAATGGAACTACCCTGATCTGACTTCAAGGTTAAAAGGATTGAATTAAGTTTGACAATTTACTCAACTATAGTACCACAGTGATCCTATTAATTAATATGACTTCCTACTCATCATTCAAATCGCTGAAAGTCCATAATAAAACCATATTCTTTCTCCCAAAAATAGATAACATATTTCTTCTTTTAGCGGGATAGGAAAACATCAACCTCTCTCCAGATAGCTGTTAAAAGAATCTCAAATTTCTTCTTCTTATACAACCATATTAAGCTTTGGTCTATCCTTAAGTAAAGCATCTCTGTCCAAATGCAAACAAAACATAACATAGCACACCATACCTTTCACCTCAGGAGAAAACTGTAAGTACGACTCAAAGAAACACGAATTTCTCAAACGTTTTGTTTACGTTTCACTGCGGACGAGAGTGATTGTCAAAGAAAACGTTTTTTTTTCACAGCGTATACTCCGTTGATGTAAGACCACTGTTCTACTTCCTGATTCTGCATTCCCTTTCCATTTTTCTGTCGGCAAAAAGTCGTATACTATGCAGAGCACACTCGGAAAATTACACTGGTTCCTTCATCACCTCTTAATTATTCTCTGGCGACAATAATGCAACGTCCCCTCGTCTCCACATTTTTTTTTC